ATGTCCTTGGGGACCCCCGGCCCATGGCAGGGAATGCTGCCCAGAAGGGTCCTTCTCCCTCTGCACCAGGCCCCGCCCTACAGAAGCCAAGAGCATCTTGCGTGGCCTGAATTTTCTGCCTTGCACGCCTTCCTGGCGCCGGCCCTGAGAGTGAGGGCCCTGCTGGCCGGGACCAGCCCTCCCTTCCCAGTGCTCCATGCGAGGTGGCCCAGCTGCCCTCGACCTGCCCCTCTGCGCTGGGCTCCACGCCACTTACCGCTTCCACCAGACTGCTGGCGCTGCCGTGCAACTGCCGCCCCGGGGCCCCGGCCTGGCTGGGCACAGTGAGGGACACGGGCCGGGTTCTCCGCACGGCACTGCTGCCCCCCACGCAGGGAGCGGGCTCCCCGGCCCAGGAGCCGCAGTGGATGGACGGGAAGCTGCTGTTGAGTTTCTCGCTGGACTCGGCCCCCTCCAGCCGCAGGGTGGGGATGGGCTGCGGGAGCCAGCCTCGGCTGCCGGGGGTGGCCGGGGGGGTGGCGCACGGCCTGGGGAACGAAGTGGGGGAATGGCTTCTCTGGAGGAGGGGGCTCAGGCCCGCCACTGCCAAGGCCTGCAGAGACACGAGATCAGGCGTTATGGGGGCATTCTCCGAGCAAAATGGCCCAGGCCTCTGCTTCCTTAGCAGGTATTGGTTCCAGCAAGTTCCACTGGCTGGAGATATCCACCCCCATGGCGCTCGCCCACCTCATCAGACCCAGGGTAAGCTTCTACCCTCCTGAAGATCCTGGGATCACTGCAGTCTGCCGTGGCTTCCTCCTCCCCTAAGTTCAGCTAGGGGCCCAAGCGGCCCAGGGCCTTGCACACCGCCCTGTGGCCTGTGAGTGGGGTGAGCTTTGCTTCTGGTTTTCTCATCTGTAGACAGAGACAGAATGATGCCTGCTTCATCTCCTACCTGCCTGGCAAGGCTGGTGTGCGCTCAAGTGAGACGAGGTCTGTGCATCGTAAGGGGTGACCGAGCCAGGACCGATCATGTACACGTTCACATGCTAGAGCCGCTGCTAACGCTCTGATGCTCTCGGGCTCAGCTGGCCTCAGAACCACCGTGAGCGTCTGATGCTGCATAGTTGCGAAGCTGCGACACTCTGCGTCTTTGGCCTGCACCTGTGCTTGAGTGTGCTGGGGGTCACGGCCCCCCACCCCGGCCTTCGCTGCTGTGTCTGTGGGAGCGACACTGGGGGTGGGGAGCCAGGCCTGGGAGGCAGAGAGCGCGGTGTGGGGTGCAGGGGCACAGCAAACCGCGGGGAGAACACGCTGCAGTTTCTTGCATTCAGCCTAAGAACACATGCGTGATGTGGGCTTCTAGGAAGCTCCAACAGCTGCACACAGTGGCCTCGCTGGCCAGCCTCTCCTGCCCGCGGCTCTTGATGGTCCTCAGCTTCAGGTCCTGGGGTCTCTGGGGCCCCGAGGAGAGTGTAAAGCTATGCTACATATTCCAGAAAGTTCAGCGGAGATATTATGTATTCAGGCGAAGCCACACAGATTTCTTTGAACTGAAATAATTTCACCTTAGCCGAGCCACACTGGCCCTCTGAGCTGACCACACATTCAGCACTTGTATGCCCTTAGGGTAAAAAAATGTCACTCCAAGCACAGGCCTGTGGTGAAGGACTAGACAACGAAAGACAAAAAGATTGGAAGACTCTGGCTACACCTTAATTGTGTGGAGGAAAACCAGTGACCTTAGCTCATCCTCTGAAATGTCCCCTGGCTCCGAGATACTAAGACACGTTTCGTATTGGTGTCTCAGGGAGTGAGCCACGCCAGAGATAGTTCATCCGTTCACTCCCCGGACCTGTTTTCCTTGGAATCATTTCCTACTCCTGACCATGTCGCTGGCAGATTTTTGATCATTTCTGTATTCCAGTGGGCGGATTTTGTGCATTTAAATGGATTAAGTGTCTAGGGGGCCATCCCGGAGTGTCAGCCAACGCCTGTGGAGGGGACATCTGTGCCACTCTTAGGAGAAGGCTCAGGTGGATCCTGGCGAGGTGGGCCCGTCCCAGTTCCGTTCACTGGTGTTTCCTAGGCCTCCACCCCGCACGCAGAGGCCCTCACCTGGGGGCCGCTGGGGCAGGGTGGTGGTAGCAGCAATCTGAGACAGGAAGACCGGTACCTCCATAATCACGGGGTTGCCCCCCTCACTAGGGGGTGACCAAAAGTGTGGGCTACCTGATGATGAACCAGATGCAAGGGCAGAACTGTCTTCTGAGAGATGTCTCCTCCTTGGTTCCTCTGTCGCTTCAGACATTCCAGGTGGAAGGAGGCCCTTCGACCTAAGAAACAGCCACAGAGCTGACCAAGGGCAGGAACAGACAAGGTCTACAATGGCGCCTACCCAGGCTGGGGCGAGGAACATGATGGTGACCCCAGACGTATGCCGCCTCTTATCCCTCCTTTCTCTGGGACATACCATGCATCATATATCCAGGTCCCATCCCAGCAAGCCCTGTCCCTGGAGTTCTTTCTCCCGGTTTGGGAATGGCCCAGTCCTTTGTGTGGGGTGTGAGGCTGAACACATGGTTTCTCAGTCACCCCCATGTGCCTGGCCAGTGCCTTCTCAGATGACCACTCTCCGGCCATCTCTGAAGAGTGCGGTGTGTTTATTTACCGAGTGAGGAAGAACGCAGGAAACCCTTCTTTGGAGACTGCCGGACATCTCTGTCTTCCTCTGGGGGTGTCAACTGTCGATTTTCATCATCCTGATAGGAGAACCTGAAACAGATGACTCAGGGGCTTGCTTCTGGAGGCCACGGACCCCTGAGTGTCCCCGTGAAATTAGCTGTTACTCCAGAAAACAGTTTGCTTTTTCCTTTTGTGAAGGAAAACCCCACTTTTTGGTCTATAGACACAATGGAACAGTACTCAGGTCAAAAGAGATAAACTCATATTATTTGCTGCAACATGGATGGAGCTGGAAGAAATTATGCTCAGTGACATAAGCCAGAAGGAAAAAGGAAACCGTTGGATGGCTTCATTTACAGGTGGAACAGAGAAAGTCCGGACAGAGGGTCAGGAAAAAAGACAAAACTTGCAAGCTGACTACAGATCTGAGGCCTGCGGTAGAGGGGGGGCAGGGAGGGGAGGGGTCAAAACGGGGCGGGTGGGGGGCAGCAGGCCTGGGGTGAGGGACTTCGGGGGGCTGTGGTGGAGGGAGAATTACAGGGACTACACCGAGGGGAGAAAGCAAATAGTGTCCCAAAATGAATGACGGCATAAGAAAGTAAACTTAATCAAATGCAGACGAAACCGCTGGTCATCACTGACCAGTGCCACAGTCTTCTACTGGGTCCAGAGCTGCAGCTAAAGAACCAACTCAAAAAATTCCAGCCCTGACGGCTCGGCCTGTTTGCCCACAGCGCCCTCTGCTGGAGCGTGTCGGGAGTCCTCTCAGGAACGTTTGTCCAATTGTAAATACAGGTGCGTTTGCCCAGCTGCCGGCTACATTCGCGACTTGCTTGCTACAGTTGGAAAGTTGAAGGCACGGCTTTTAAAAGCTTTCCCGACATGGCCCTCCCTGGCGGCTCACCAGCTTAGGAAGCAGCACTGCAGGCTGGCCGCAGCCGCCTCAATGTGAGTTTGATCCCCGGCCCCGGG